GGAGGGGAGGGGGGAAGGGGGTTAATGGGCATGCTCCCTGGGAAAAATTGAAATTTTACAGCACGTCAAAAGTGGTATTTTAAGGTAATGGGATACTTTGCTTCATTATTCATACTGTTGCAGTCACTTTATCGTAATTATTTGTGTGACTTCTCATTCGGAGCCTATTTCTTGGCTGATCTCCCCTGCTTTGAAGCCCAACATTTTTATTACATTCCTCTCCTCCCCCCAAATTCCAGCAGCATTCCCATGGCTCAAAAAAATGGACAGTGTGTTAGGATTAAAAAGGTTGGGTGGAATGTGTGGTTATTTTGGTATTGCCACATTGACAATAATAATTGAACTTAACGCAAGATCACTTTATTTCAAAATGAGATAAAAACAACAACTGCAAAATGGGCAAGTGAAACTGAGTAGTGTTACAATCTGAGATACAGGTAGATTGTGATGCATTCTGTCTTGATGCGGTGCCGGTGCAGGTTCTCTAGTAACTGAGCATTATCAAATTCAATGCATCTCTTTCCTTTCCATTAAGAAAATGTCAACAACAAAAAAAAAGCGATCTACACAGGACATAAAGTGTAAACATTTTTGTTAAATTGTCCTTTTTGTGAAAAGAATGCACCAGGTAAACTTTTAACCATTGCAGCGACATGAAAACGTACCTTGCTTTCGTCAACAAAACAGAAATCATAATATGTGCAGAGTGCCATAACCTGCTATATCCTTTGATGTTCCACATTTACAACCCCGGACAAAACTGTTGAGACATTTTAATGCAATTTTTTGTTTCCCGCCATGCAACAATCGTTTCCAAAAGGAACAAACTTGCCCCCCTCCCCACCCCTGGTACAATGTTGTTGGGGCTTAACAGCTCAAGCATGCATTTCTTGTGTTACCGCAAACAACATCTCGCAATAGGGGAGGGGGGAAACAATCTTTGAATTTGTGACGGTAAGTATTTTTGTCAGGGTGAGTGCAAAAAATAGGTATTTTTGTAATGTGTCTCAACAGGTTTTGTCCGAGGTTGTAGCAGTTCTGTATCGTTTATGTGAATGTAACTAAGTACCAGTATTTTACAATTTTGTCGTCCAAGATATCTTAAAAAGGTAAGCTGACATTAAGAAGGGTTTCTTCTATGATGTTCGCAGATAAATTGTCAATGTTTTTGTCCATGTTGAATCCTGGGGCACTAGTGATTGCTTGAAATAAATCGCTTAGAATAGCGTGGGGACAGGAGAATCTTCCCACATTTTCACCCTTTTCGTCTTTTATCATGATGTGGGCCGTTGTACTTGATACCAATTCACATTTCTTGATCTTCAAGTTACAGTTGGGACACTTGATAATAGCTGTATCACGAGGATCATTAATTTTGGATTTGCAATTTATGCAAATTGTACTTTTACATTTTACCTGTACTGCCGCTAAATTAATGTTCGACGAAGAGGAAGTTGTCATTCCCTCGATGCTGCTGTGTTCATCTTGTGATTCATTGAACTTGCCCACATGTGTTGTTGAGGTCGTTATTCCTGCCTGTGGTTTGAGACGTACTTACTAAAACAAGGAATGACCTAAAACCACCTACAACCACCTTCAGAATACCATTGTGACAATTCGTGACAATTTTGTTGGCAAATTTCAATATAAATGCACACGGAAATGTTGTCGCATGTCTCGCATGTCATGACCAGGGAAACTACGCGACTCCCCAGCGCGTGTTTAGAATAGCCTATTCAAAGTTTGGCCCTCACGAGTATGTCTTTGAGCGACCGTCCTCATTTGTAAGATACGAGGGGCGAATTTTTGTATATTTCGCTCAGTAGTGGTTGTGTTTCTATTAAATGCCAGTTTCTGCAGTTTTCGACACCGTATGCAGAGCATTCGAAATATTCCACAGAAACGGACCTCCTATCCCTACACAACTACTAAAACAAGCGCTTAGGCTAATTCTCCAAGAAAATTATGCAGATTGTAAAGCAAATTGTACACCAGATATTTGTAAAGCAATTTTTCAGCTTTTGTACGAGCGAGCCTCAAGTCTGGGGTGTTACGAAAACGAAGACCTAAGACCTAAGACACGGTCTTTGTTTTCGTACTACAAAAACGAAGACCCCCGGTCGTTAAAAAGTAACAATTCTTTTGGCTAATGCAGGGTCTTCGTTTTCGTTGTACGAAAACGAAGACCCTTTATTGAAAGCAGAAAATCCTTTGAAAGTACGATTGTAGACGTACCCTGAGCACTAGTAATAGTTATTTCAGCTTTCGATATGCTAAGACAGTTCGCGCGTGGTTTTTCTTGTTCTTTCTTCATCCACCACTGTTTTCGGCTCTTCGGTTTGTTTTTCTATGCAATGAGTCCAAATTTGGAACAGACACCCCCATCGAAGGGGTGATTGAAATATTTTAGGGCCTTACTAAGGTTAAGAAGGCTTTATTCGGGGTTTTTAGAAAGGGTGTTCGTTTTCGTTCTACGAAAACGAAGAACTCTCATTAGCCAAAAGAATTGCTTACTTTTTTACGAGAATTTTCCAGCAGACAAAGCTTAACGACCGTTAGAATCTATCTTAGCTACGAAATACAGTAGAAATCGATTATTTATTGACAGAACCCAAGAGTCATTTTTCCTGTACAGAACGCGTTCTCTGTTATTCTGTCACGCAAGGCTAACTATAAATCAAAGGCGGCTGGCGATGGAATTCTGCCTGCTGTTCCATATGTGTGGTAAGTTTACCCGAGGAAACCCTCGAGAATATCAACACCAAATTGGCTCGCATAGCGAAACAGAACACTGACAAGACGGGCCGTATAATAATACGGGCAGTACAATGATACGGGCAGTGTAATAAATGGAAAGAAACGCGTGAAGTGTAATGTATTATATTACTAAGCGTTGTTACTGTTTAATGTGCGTTTAACTTGGTCTTAGGTCTTCGTTTTCGAGGGTCTTCGTTTTCGTAACGCCCCTCAAGTCTAGGCTGAAACAGGAGTTCGAATCTTTTGGTGCGACTATCTTGGGCGCTATTATTGATGTGTGCGTTGTATGGTGAAGAGTTCCAATGGAAAAGCGCAATAATATAGCGATAATTTACGTCCTTACCAATACCAACGCAGATGATTAATTATAAGCTAGCTCAACCTTTCCAATATGGCGGCCTTGATGGTCTGTCTCCTGCACGTGATGACGGGAGGAAAAAACCGTCTGGGGTCCCAAAATTTATTTTGCAATCACTGATTAAAGCGAAATCGAAGTATATTTGGACTTTAATTCAGCCAAACGGGATGGGGGTGGAGAGGAACATCACAATTCACGTCCGGTGCAATATTCACTTCCGTACACAAAAAGTGTCTACAAAAAATGACCACATTTGACCCGTAACTATACTCATTCATTGTGCAAGCTCATGAATAAGCTAAAAATGCAAGCCGTTCTTGGTCGCCAAAAGGAGTGTCATTGTCCCAGGCGTTCATTGCTTAAACCGCGGAAACTGGGTATGAGAATGTGACAACTTGTTTGTAGGATTTACAGAATGCTGTGTTTCGCGAATACCGCGTTGCAAAGGTTTGTCTTAACGCTCATCTCACACACAAAAGCCAAACAAATGAGCCATACGTGAGTTCAAACTACGAAAATTCTGGCAAAACTGGAATAGCCGATGTAACAACAAACTATGATGCTTTTACATTTACATTTGCATCAAGATATCACACAAACAGAAAAAAAAAGCAAATTAATAAATAAAGAAAATAAATAAAATTCAATTATTTTGTATTAACAAAGATTTAGTAATACATAGACAGGTAAAAACGAACAATATAATATCCCGACGTTTCGGCGACCTCATGACGCCATTATCAAGGGTACGAATGAAAATAAAATAAACAAATGCGAGTTCAAGAGTTACAACTAATTTGCATAGGGGAGGTAGCTACTCAAATACTTTAGCACAGATAGAATCCGTTTGCACGTTCAAACTCGGTGTTAATTGTTTGATGTAAAGCATCTCGTTGACAAGACAATCGAATTTGTTCATGCACTTCTTGAGAACTTTGAAACAGCTAAGAAGGTCCTCAGGGACAGCACCTGCGTGGTCGTTGTCGTAGTGCTTGCGTACTGAAGACGACGTGCTCTTATGGCTATCCACTCGGGCATATAAATGCCCACGTGTGTAACCAACATAGCTCTCTGTATCGCACAGGTTACATTTAAATTGGTACACTACGCAATGTTGATTAACCAGCTGTGGTTTGGTTTCACATTCTTTAAGGTCTTGGCCAATTTTCCGACTGACAAATACGGGCTGGATTGTGGTTTGGAGTAGCTACCTTCTCCATGCAAATTAGTTGTAACTCTTGAACTCGCAATTGTTAATTTTATTTTCATTCGTACCCTTGATAATGGCGTCATGAAGTCGCCGAAACGTCGGGATATTATACAATTATGTTGATGTTGAAAATAAAAATTAAATTACGCTGAGACGAACACCTCGTTCGCTCAAAAGATTAGAATGTTCGCGAGCACAACTTCGAAGGTGGCGCTAACACCAGCGATTTGGATTAGGATACTGACAGAAGCAACTTGAATAGTTAGGTTAAAAATTTAAGCTCATCTCTTCCGTTAAATATTCTGTTTCTGTTACTGGTTTTTATTGCGTTCAATACTCGTATTGAACCCAATAAGTATATTGAAATGCCAAAGAACTTGGTATTTCGTACATAAACACTATTATTATTATACAAGCGGTCGTGAATGTTGATTTGCTCTTCGCATGAAGTTGTTAGGACATGATGACTGTGATCTACTCGAAAAAGTTGTCAATATGACTAATGTACAGGAACATAATGATGTTACAGTGTCAATAAAAGTACAACAATTCAGATCTAGTTATGCATAGTATGTATATCATAATTGTACTCGTGTTTTGTGCGAGTGCAATAGCATTAAACGAAGCCCAAGTGAACGCTCCTCGAGCGTCTAGTTAGAAGAAAATTCAAATCTATTGTGCGATTTGTGGTCTTCCGAATTGAGACAAATTCGAAGTATTTCCTTACGATTCTGTTTTCCTGTAAGCTTATCCGGAATAATCCGGCCGCTGGTTCAGTTTCTGACTGCGATATTGGCGGGACATTTGTTAGTTCACATGTAAGTAAAACTTGCTCCTTCTCCCAAGTGTAAATTAGAAAGTATTTATCATAGAGACTCCAGGCCTTTAAGCCGTACTATGAAATATGGCAAACGGTGGCAATCGAAATTTTGCTGTTAGCATGAATCGGATGAAGTGTCCTCCTAGCTCTTATAAAGCTATGTTAAGAGTTTGCTCCAAGGCAAGGCAGCGATAACATTTCCCTAATAACTGACAATGGAAAATATTTAAAGTGGACTGACACAAACCTGAACACGCACGGGTTTGCCCTCCTCTGTCTGGAAAGCCCAGAACACCAAGAAGAAACGCTTTTAACATAAGCGAACTAAGAATCATGGCGACGAACTGAATTCTTGTTTCCACTGATTTTCCTACTAATTTCTTGTTTGTAAAGCACTGGGTCAGTCACCATATGTAGGTATACTGATAGATGCGTGTGTTAAGCAAAGTTCAAATAATCACGCCGCAGAATCTCTTCTTCTCATTTGTGTTGACCTCTTGGTGATAATTGAGAACACTCAGTTTCGTATTCAATTCCTTAACATTTTCGGAACCAAGGATTATAGCGGTTTCCTATTCTTACCTAGTTTTTAGCCGTATGGACTTCCCTTGAAGAAACAAACAAGTCTCTGATATTTTGCGTGAACTGTTCCAAGGTTAAGGTTGAGTCTGAAAAATCCCCCACGTATTACTAACCAATCGAAACGAGCGTCAATCTTGGCAAGCACTTCCCTTCATCAAACGGAAGCTTGTGTGTCTCAGCCTTGATGGGTAATTTGCTTTGTTTTTCCGATCATTTCTCTTTCCTCACATGAACTCGATCTTTCAAATGACAGATCGCCTTACAGTAAGATACTCTTCCGTATAACAGAGGCTTTCATAAAATAACAGCCCATTTTGCCCTAAGCCGGGTTGGAACCGTCTTTATTGTCTAACTACACTTCGTAGAGTACAAATAGCGCCATAGACGAGTACAAATATCACGTGGTATTTGTACTCTAGAGTACCGGTTAAACAGGTTTTCTTGCATCGCGCAAGCAAAGAATAGCCCATTTGCGAATTACCCTTGGCCTCATTTTCAAAAGGAGTCCTCGTGCTCAACCATTCTTGTAAAAATGAGTTTAATTTGCATGTGAATGGAAACTTATTATCATATGAAAGGATTAGCACGAGGACTCGTTTTGAAAATGAGGCCAAGGGTAATTCGCAAATGGGCTATTGGATTTTATTAAAAACTGGATCATTGGATAATGCAATTCAAGACTTCTAATTGGCTTAGCCATTATGGTATATGAGCCAATATACCATAATCTAATATCTGTACATTGTGACATCCGATTTCTTATTACAAAATAAAGTCGAGAAGATATGTCTAATATCTTTGGGGCGTGTTTTTTAATAAAACAATTATTCCACTCGCTCTTGTTGGATATGAGATGATTATAGCCAACTCGGCGCTACGCGCCTCGTTGGCTATCTATCATCTCATATCCAACGCGCGCTCGTGGAATAATTGTTAAATATCCTCG